GGGGGGCGGTGTAAAAGATCAGAGCCCTGAGGATTGCCAAACAAGATGATGTGGGGTTTAGACGGTACATGGTTTGTGCAGAAGAAGTGGTGGCGGATGCCATCCTGACTTGAGTCTCCACAAGGTCTTCTCTTTGTCCTGTTTAAGCCAAATGATTGATCAGTTTAGGGCTGTTTCTGGTGCTTATTATTTTGTTATGTGGGATCATTTGTACATTTCTTTTAAGTGAATGGTCATTTCTTATCAGTATCCCAGGGTGGTACCAAAGTCCTTCAGTTTAAACAACTTGCTCGTTAGTTCGCTATTCTTGAGGGTTGCCTTTGGTTGTTTTGCCCTGTCAGAATCTAGAGACTTATTGCTAAACTGAGATTCTGTGTCGACCGGTACCTTGGACCGTTATCTCTGTGGGTTTGTTGTTATTTAGTGATCAGTGGTGACCTCCTGCCCTTTTCCAAAGCTGTCTCGTTATTCCTTAAGAAACAAAGAAAACCAGATGTGTCCTATCCCATGACCGTCAACACTTAAAATAAAATCACACATTTTATACATATTCGCATAACATAATCCTGAATAATATTCCATTATAAACTCCTTATGTTGTTATATTCCAATTATCCCCACCTTGAGGCCAAAAGATTACATCTTGAGTCCTCACCTAATACTATCTGCTCAGCCACCGAGCCATATATTCTTGGTCTGCCCACCTCTTTAAATCACGGACTATCCATCGAACTGATATCACAGCAATAATTGAGACAAGGGAAATCATGATTTGGACAATTAAATATAGTTGGGAAGCAATTCGAACAAACGGATTCTCCCCAATATTGTAGATAGACTGTCACCATCGTTTTTCTCCTCCGAGGTGGAGGATGGAATTGTTCAGAGCCGTATTTCATTGCTGAAATGTCAGTATATGCTCTTGGGAGGTGAGTTCCCTTAACAAAATTGTCCATAATTGGAAAGACAGAGGAGGAATATCATGTTCAAAGTGGACGATGAATTATAAATCCTCCGTGTGGATCAGAATGCAATTGGATTCGACTGGACTCATGCACCTTTAAAGGCCAAAATGTAAGGATTAATTCCTCTCGTCCAATATAAGATCCAATATAAACACAAGGTATATAAACATATCCAATAGAAACATCCAGTTTGATACTATAAAGGGCATATTTGGTTCCCATATACAATATTAGTTTCAGTTGTAGTAAAACAAAATTCACCCCTTCCTTTATAAGCTTGTTGAGTGCCCATCCAGTGTGATATTAGGGACATCGGACATTCTGGGGATTTTGTCTATAGTTGATTAACCTGAGTACGTGACATGTTAACGCTTCCTTTTGGACATGGCATAACCATCTGTTAAGTCTCAGAGAACAGTCCTTAAGGTTGATGCCAAGCTATTGGGAGTGGTTAGCGTGTATCATGAATGCTGGAGCCCGTAAATGTTTGACAAGATGACCCTCTTTTACAACACCAATTGAGTATATTTGATGTAGAGGAGATCCAAATACTTGTGGGAACAGAGGAATTTGAAGGACTAACCCAATAAATGGGGAGTCTGGTTGAAAGGAGAAGGGTACATCGATAATACGGATTTTGATGCATTGTCTCATTACACATAAATTTGTTTCTCCAGGTACGAGTCGGGCAATTTGCTCACCAGTCGGCTTTGGTTTAAGCTTTTCAGAGCCGACTGGATCATACGGTATAAATGACTTCAGTACATAACACATGTAATGGCTTGGGATTGTTGATTAGATTGGTCATTGCTATTGTTTATGATTTCATTAATTGTATGCTGGGTAACATTCAATGCTTTGATAATATTGTTAAAAGACATAATATTCTTGAGGTCTTCCCCCACCATCCCTCCATCCTGTGCATTCATTTGTAATAACAAGTTTTGTAAGTTCTGGCGCAATCGTTTTTCCTCATAATATTGATTTTCTATATCAAGACGGTTTAACCCAGTGCCCAAGGCAGCCCTCCTGCCACCCAATCAGTGACAGAACATACAGGATGGTGTGGTTTAGATGGGTTCCATTTTATCATTACTCCTCTAGCCGTTTCTGCGTGGAATTGCTATAAATAATCCCTGATAACCTCCTCACTCCATCTGGAGTAGTGGGGCTCACATAGATTCAGGGGAAGGGGAAGATTAGATAAATCGAATAATATTGGATATGTCTTGTATCTTATGTTGGTATATATAATTTGGTTGGAAATCTGGGGCACCAATCCATTGTACATTCCAGGGTGAAGTTTCAAATTATCACACTGGGTGGTATCATTGTTTACATAATATTCTTCCCTCACCTTAATTTGTATGGTGTAATATTTATCAGAGTGGGACTCAAGGTTATTTTTTTCTCATCCCACTGGCATGCATAATATCCTTGATGTTGAGCAAAGATATATGGGAACTGGAGGATCCAGAGCGGATAACCTCGTTTTTTGGGGGTGGAAAGCCACATGTAACTTGTGTTTAATCCCTATCAATTGAGTCAATTGTTTAAAAAATGTTCCAGTAAAATATGATCCCTGATCACTGTCTAGGCTAATAGTTACTACCCACCTGCAGATCACCTCACTCAACAAAATACGTGCTGCAGTAAGGCCAGTAGCCACATGGACGGCCTCTATCCATTTAGTAAACCTGTCGACAATGACAAGCGCGTAATTATAAGCACCTACTGTGTTAGTAAGGGGACCAATTAAATCAACCTGGATGTGCATTCAAGGTCCCAAAGGACAAGAAGCAGATGTTAATAAATGTTAGTAATTTCGTTGACCACTGGGGAACACAGTAGTCAATGGTTAATCAGGTTTCTTGACAGGCCAAATGGGAGAATTAGTAGTGAAGGTGCCTTCTCGTATAACATCTTGTTCTTGTAATGAGTTACTAGTAGCTTGTACAAAAGGATGACTTTCAATCAGAATGGGGTATTGTTTCGCAGGGGAATACGTGGGATTATTGATTTCTTTCACTGCTTTGAACCGCCTGCAATCGTACTTGTGTTTAGCAATCACATCCTGATAGTGAATGACAAGCTGTAATACCTCTGGATCCGAATGGGTTGCCGGAGGGTAACGCTCTCTCCCTTCCCTCCCCTCACCCTGACCATTTCCCCCCTGCTCGGGTCCTGACCCAACTGTCCAGCGCCTTGGGACGTCCTCCCAACGTGAAAGGCTATAAATGAAATCTTGTTGTTGTTGTTGTTGTTGTTAATGGGAGACACAGAAAATACATCTGATACCACATCATTAACAGGCAATACATGACATGCAGCATTTGTGGATGTACCCCATCCTCCACTTGGTGTACGAATTTGAGTAGGTACCTATAAACAGGAGTTAGTATAATCAACTATCATTCCATAACGTGTCAACACATCAGAACCAAGTAACACATGCTGTGTGGGCAACCGGATCAGCATCTATAAATGTAACAGACCCAATATAGATAGAACTAGTGTTGAGTGTGGTACCAACTTGGTGTGACCCGTTGAAACCCTGGAGGGGTTAAGATTTGTCCATCGATCCTGGAAAAGACTGAGGTTCGTTAGTATGGAATAGCGTATGAGTACATCCGGCATCCATGAGTAAAGTCTGTTGTGCGCCCCCCTCAACTTTTACGGTGATGCGTGGACGGTTATCTGGGGTACTATCAAATGGAACTAATGTGTGTCCTGAATAAGGAAAGAAAGGGTTCAGGGGGGCTAGAGATTGTCACTGGGAATTAGTGTGTGAATCCCCCAACGGTCCTTCTATGACAGAAATCCGGGGAGAAGCTGAAGGAACGACTTGTGTTGGAATAGGGGTGGCGACCGGTGCAGCCTCTTGAGTCATCTGATAAGTATCTACCATCGCCTGTATGCGCTCCAATAGCTGTGTGCACTGAGGATCTCTAGGAGTACTCGAATCAGGATAAAAATTAGCAGAATCCATAGGATCTCTCACCCGTTACCTCTGCCTTGCTCCCACCCTTCCCCTCTTTCAGATCACAAATGAAGACCTTCGAGACTGACCCAAAAATATATGGTGACCCTAATCTTACATTTCACCCGATTTTAAAAAAACGTTATAAACAAAAGTGAAAGTAACATTTTTCCTTTTCGCACCAACACCATTTGATGTTGTCTTGAAACTACTCGTCTCTGACTGCAGAGAAAGGTAAGAGAGACAGACTTTCAGGTCATATTGTTCACTTGAGCAGAGGAATAGAGCAGCTGTTTTACTTTTTAGTACAAGAGTTTTAATGACAGATCTTTCGTATGTGTGAAGCTAATGTCTCCGTGATCTCTGTGGATTCCCTCTTCCTCTGTCTCTGGGAATTCCCTGTATAATAATAATATAGAAATGACATGTTCCTCATGAGAGGAATTGCAGGACATGTTCCTTTGGAGAGTGCTGAAGAACTGCAGTGCTGCAGATGTGAGTGACTGTCTATTGACAGAGTTTGTCAGAGTCAGTTTGTTTCTAAAATTCCTAACTGTGTCCATTGTTTGTTATTAACCAGAGAGATTCACAGTCAGTGGCCCGGCCCTCCCTGTCCCAGCCATTGCTGGTTCGGATGTTGTCCTGGACTGTAAGTGTTCCACACACCTGTCACTAGAGCGTCTGGAGGTGAGATGGTTCAGGACAAGATTCGACTCCCCTGTGCACTTATACAGTGAGGGACATGATCAGACAAGTAATAATAATAATAATAATAATCCTTGCATTTGATATAGCGCTTTTCACATCGGGAGGATGTCCCAAAGCGCTCGTAGATTGAAAATGACCTACTTTTTATTATTGTTTTTGGTTTTGGAGGGATTATTATTAGGTGTGTGGAGTAAGGAAACTTGCCCAAGGTTTCGCTCTGCCTGGAATTGAACTCAGGTCTCTCACTTGCAAAGCGAGTGCTCTAACCACAGAGCTTACAGGACTCCACAAGCCGTGAGCAGGATACAGCCTACAGACACAGAACAGGACTGTTTGTAGAGGAGATTATGAACGGCAATGTGTCTCTCAGACTGCAGGATGTGCAGGTGTCAGATAACGGAACCTATACATGTTATGATGACTACGAGGGTTGGTATCAAGAGGCACAGATACAATTGCATGAGTGTGTGAGAGAGATAGAGAGGGGCGGGGGAAGAGAGGAATATTTGTAAGAAAGGGAGGGGAGAGAGAGTGTGATGGAGAGGGAGAGAGGGTGGAGAGCATGGTGAGGGGGCGAGGCGGGGGTTGGGGGGAGAGTGAGAGATAGAGAGGGGAGAGAATATGCTCCCCCGTCACCCATGACCCATCCTTTTATTACAGCAGCTCAATCCGCGGGGAGTGAAAATACTGGCGGCTGTTGCTGTAGTGTGTCAGTTCCTTCCCGAGCTGATAGAGAGGAAGGCAACCGCGTCTCTTTATCAACCGCGTCTCTTTATCAACCGCGTCTCTTTATCAACCGCGTCTCTTTATCAACCGCGTCTCTTTATCAACCGCGTCTCTTTATCAACCGCGTCTCCTTATCAACCGCGTCTCTTTATCAACCGCGTCTCTTTATCAACCGCGTCTCTTTATCAACCGCGTCTCGCAATCGCCAGCTCCCCCCGCTGCCAGATAGTGAGCCCCCACCCTGGACAAGGCTGGGAGAGCAGCCCTTCCCGCTGCCAGATAGTGAGCCTGACGGCTGAGAGATGCTTTTAATAGTGACGATTCTTCACTTTCGATGAAAATGTGAACAGGTAAGTGTCAGAAATTCTTTCTTCAAATTAACTATCATTTTACCAGTAAAAATAATGATTTACTTTCACTGTTGTCCAGGTTTTTGCTGGGTTCACTTTCTCATTAGGTGGTGTCAAATTTAAGTGTGAAATAAGTGTTCTCTGTTGTCAGGTTGGTGCGAATAGTAAAGCGGGAGCCGCTGCAGAGAGTTTATTCCCAGTTTCTTGTTTAAACGCTGAAAACTGGAGGCAAGTGAGGAGGGAAAGGAATGGGAGCTCCTCTCTGACCTGCACCTTGTTGGAGTGAACAAGGAGCGGCGGAGGAGGGGGAGGGGACGAGCACATTACAGCAGTTATACATAACATATTTCTTTCCCAAACTGCAATGAAGAAGTTTATTAATAATTGTAATAATAATCCTTGGTATTAGCAGCTTATCATGTCAGAAGGACATCTCAAAGTGCTTCACATGATTCACTATGAAATGGGGTGACAGTGTATTTGTCCAATTGTGCACAGGTTTGTGTCCAGGGCAGAGCATATTCACTGCCAGAATTCCTGTACACAGCCCAGACATGCTGTCATCTCCACTTAGTTCTGACTGAAAGCAGCTTCAGATCTTTCAATCTTCTGATCACTGAGACGTTTGATGAATTTCTTGTTCAGCCAAATAGTTCCTTTGTCAGCCTGGCTCAGTCAGTCGCACTCTCGCCTCTGAGTCAAAAGATTGTGGGTTCAAGCCCCACACTTGGACTTGGATTACATATAGTCTATGATGATACTCCATTGCAGTGCTAGGGAGGGCTGCATTGACAGAGGATCTGTCCTTCAGAAGGACGTTAAACCAAGGTCCCATCTACCTGTCCAGGTGAATGTTAAAGCTCCCACGGCAGTATTCAAAAACAGAACAGAGTTTATCCTGGTGTCCTGGACAATAATACCCCAAAATAAAATTGGTCACTCACTCCATAGTTGGTGCGGGACACGTTTTGAGATATCTCAAAGATACGATAAGACATTGCATCAAATAGAAGGATAATTTCGTTATTTTTGTAGGTTTATGTTATAGATTGTCCAGTGGATATGAGGAAACTAGACTTTAATTGTTGATTGTTGTAGGTTGAGGTTAGATTCTCTATAACCTCGTAAATATCAGGAGTGGATCAGAAGGGCTGATGTTCAGAATAAAGAGGAAAACAAAATAGTCCAAAAAAGAGGAGATAACCTAAGTTAAGAGCAGGAAACACAGGCAGTAAGATCAGACAATAAAACAGGAAGAAGTTGATGAGAGTAAAGAGTAAAAGTAGATCCGTAAATACAATAAAATATTCTACTTATAAATACAATAAACTGATAACTCAAGGGGCTCGGTGACAGTTGTACAGAGTGGCCAGTTAGGCATATGTCTAAATACATAAATAAATGTGGGCGGGATATTGCGAACATGATGACTTGAGTGGTAGTGGCAAGTTAATCCAGGATCGAGTTATCAGGAGTTCACTGACAAGGCAAAAAATAATAATCCTGATCATTGTCAAATATAATGTTCAGCATCCAGGAAATACAGGAAATAAAATAGAAAGGACACGTTCCTCAGGAGAACACCCCAGGGCAGGGCGAGGGGCAGTCTATAGTTAAAGATCCCATAACAATATTACAAAAGAGAAGGGAATTTCTTCCTGTTTGTCTCTAAAAGCAAAGTATATGTTCTAAGACCAGAGAATTATTAGTTAGATATCATATTTTTATTAATTATGTGTGATCACAAATCTCTATGTGTGTTTACCTGATTTTCTGTGTTCTGACCAGTTCTGATCGCATTGTGAAGGCCCGAGAAGATGAGCTGCAAACACTGTATTCAGGTTCTGTGGCTTCTGCTTCCCCTCTCACTGACTGGTAAGGAAACACATTGAATCTGTTTGATTTCTGTTGGTGTTAAATTGCTGAAGCTAAAGGGAGAGCTGCTGAAGGCAGTGGCTGTGAGTGAGTGTGATTCACACACTGTGAGCTGCTAATGTTCTCCTTCAGTCTTCAGACATGACAACAACAACAAAATTACATGTGTAAAGCACCTTTAATGTTGGGAGGACGTCCTAAGGCTAAAGAGATAAAATGATCGATGATGGCTTTGTCTATGATTGTGATATCTGAGATACTGAGGCCCCGGGTGATCACCAGATCAAATGGGTGGCCATGAACGTGGGTGGAAGAGTATATGCGGAGGGAAAGGTTGTGAGAGGAGAGTAGAGAGGAGAAGGCTGAGAAGATAGAGCCAGAGGGGGTAAAGTGAAGAATTAATATGCTGAAAATGAGGAAGGGTTCAGAACAGAGGCAGAGGGAAGCTAGGAGTGTGGAGACGTCAGAGATGAAGGTGGGGAGGTATTGGGGCGGTTGGTAAATAAGGAGAATTTTAAGAGCAAGATTGGAGGGATGGTAGAGTGTAAGGTGCTTGAATGAGGGGAATGGAGTAGGGGAATAGAGATGAGGGCCACACCACCATCACACCAGTTGGGCCGTGGATATGGTGGGAGGTATACCCGGGTGGTGTGGCCTCAGTGAGGAGGAAGGTGTCACCTGGGATGATCCAGATTTCAGTGACATTGGTCTGAGATGAGTGAGGTGATAGATACATCAGGTACAATAGACATCAACTGGATTCTGTGATGATACCATATTTAACACAAACAATGTCCAGGGCTCAAATGTCTGTTCGTGTAATTATGAATGAAACAGTGTAAACAGTGTAACCCACTTACCATTCTCTGTGAATGAAACATCCCGAGTCCTGCAGACAAAGCAATATATTGCATTCATCACATCCCGGCTCGACCTCCCCAACTCCCTGCTTGTCGGCCTTCCCAACTCTTCCCTCCAGAAGCTGCAGATCTTCCAGAACTCTGTCCCACACCAAGCTTCTGGACCCCATCAACCCCACCCTCGTCCAGCTCCACTGGTTCCCCATCCCTTAGAGGATAGAGTTAAAAATTCTCGTCCATGCCTTCAAGGCCCTCCATGGCCTTGCCCTCTCCTGCGTCTGTGACCTGCCTCTTGCCCCCCCACCCATTGGCACTCCAACCCACAGACTCTTCCCCTCGCTCCCTCCCTTGCCTCCTTACAGGCACGTCTCAAGACCCTCCTCTTCGACCGCTCTTTCGGCCACCCTTCTACCCACTCTGCCCTCAAATTCCAGACTGTCCAGAGCCTCTCAACATCAAATGCACTGTACAAATGTAATTTTGTATTGGAGTCTGTTGATTTCCCTCTTAATGTATGAAAATTGTCACTTGAGTCTTTAAATATTGTCGCAGACTCGATGAGGTGCCTATTGTATTGTTGCTTCGCTGTCTGTAACAGACGCTATGTACAAACTTTGGCTTCAGGTGAAATTACAGCCAATGTCTCCAACCCTTCCAGCCTGTGAGAGACATCACCTGATGGGCTAACCTGACCAGGCAGTTGAGAGATTTGCTGAGGTTTCTCTGAGTATCCTAACACTGCTAACATGAGTAACTGTCTATTGACAGAGTTTGTCGGAGTCAGTTTGATTCTGAAAATCCTAATTGTGTCCATTGTTTGTTATTAACCAGAGAGATTCACAGTCAGTGGCCCTGACCACCCTGTCCCAGCCATTGCTGGTTCGGATGTTGTCCTGGACTGTAAGTGCTCTACACACCTGTCACTAGAGCGTCTGGAGGTGAGATGGTTCAGGACAAGATACAACTCCCCTGTGTATCTATACAGTGAGGGACATGATCAGACAAGTGAGCAGGATACAGCCTACAGACACAGAACAGGACTGTTTGTAGAAGAGATTATGAATGGCAATGTGTCTCTCAGACTGCGAGATGTCCGGGTGTCAGATAACGGAACCTATACATGTTTCGTTGACTACAAGGGATTGTATGAAGAAGCAGATATACAATTGCAGATTATAGGTCAGTAATGTTTACTCTTTTTATTATGTGTACCATTGTACCATCGTTGTAAGTTATTTTGTGTAACAAATTATAACAAATTGTAAATATTTTTTACATTCTTGTAATTTTTTCAGACTTTTGCAAACGTACAAACATCGAACTATAGAAACAGGAGAAGGCTATTCAGAATCTTCAAACCTTTTCTGCCATTTTATCAGATCATGGCTGAACTGTACTTCAAGTACAGTTACCCTCCCTTGCCCCATATCAGTTAATAACCTGACCTAACAAATATCTATCTATATTTACTGGATAGTTACTGGACAGCGTTCTGCGTAGAAATATTGTTTATTGTACATTTGATTCATATTTTCCTGCTTCCCCCTAGGTCTTGGCAGTCAGCCTTGGATTCGTGTTGATGGTCACCACAATGGTGGTGTGAGGCTACTGTGTGAATCCAATGGATGGTTCCCAGCACCAGAAGTTCTGTGGGTTGATGTGCAGGGAAACCACTTAACAACACTCAGTACCTTGACAGTTAGCGAGGATTCGGAGGGTTTCCTCAATATTCAAAGTCAAATAGAGATAAATTATTCTACCAACAAGATCAGATGTCTGATTCGCAGCAAGTTACTGAGAGATGACCAAGAAGGAAATCTCCAAATCTCAGGTCAGTGACCACATCAGCCTGAGATATTAGTGAGAGTCTGATAGATGTGTCGCGGGTTGTGTGACACATCAAGTGAATACAAAATCAGTTGAGATGAAGAAAACCCTTCTGTCCATTTGATCTCATCCTCTCAAAATACCAAACCCACCACCTTCTATTCCAGCACCAATCTGTTTCTTAAATGTGCCCTTTGACCTGACCCGGCATTAACCTCTTCCAGCAGCTGAGTACTTTGGGTTAAAGATGTTTCTTCCTTGTACTTTCCTAAACTTAACTCATGTTGGGAGGATGCCCTAAGGCGAATAATAAGATTAATACATGCATTCATCACATCGAGGCTTGACTATGCAAACTCTTTGGTTGTTGGCCTCCCCAACTCCTCCTCCTCACGCTGCTGAAACTCTGGTCCACGCCTTTATTACCTCAAGGCTGGACTATGGGAACTCTATCCTCGCCGGCCTTCTCGGCACCTCCCTCCACAATCTGCAGGTCATTCAGAGCTCTGCAGCTCGTGTACTGTCCCGCACCAGGCTTCGGGACCACGTCACTCCCACCCTCGCTCGCCTCCACTGGCTCCCCATCCCCCAGAGGATCAAATTCAAGATCCTCATCCTCACCTACAAGGCCATTCACAGCCTTGCTCCCTCCTACCTCTCTGACCTACTATCCCCCTACCTACCTGCCCGTACCCTCCGTTCCTCTGGCTCCGGTCTGCTCCACATCCCCCGCCCCAACCGCCGTACCATCAGTGGTCGGGCCTTCAGCCTCTCAGCCCCGAGGCTCTGGAACTCTATCCCCCAGTGCCTTCGCCGCTTCCTCCCTTTCCTCCTTCAAGGCCGGTCTCAAGACCTTTCTCTTTGACCGTGCCATCAGCTCCCCTCTCGACTCTCTATCCCCTCCTCGCTCCCTCCCATCCCTCCCCTCACCCTGACCATTTCCCCCCTGCTCGGGTCCTGACCCAACTGTACAGCGAGGGACGTCCTCCCGATGTGACAGGCGCTCTATAAATGGAATCTTGTTGTTGTTCCATAGGCTGCAGATCATCCAGAACTCTTCAGCCCGTGTCCTCTCCCATACCAGCCTCCATGACTCTATCACCCCCATCCTTGCCTGTTCCACTGGCTTCCCATCAAACAGAGGGTACAGTTCAAGATGCTGATCCTCAGCTTCAAAGCCTTGCATGGCTTTACTCCCCCCTACTTCTGTGACCTATCCGCTCCCTGCACTTAGTGGGCTTTGGTCTCCTTCATAACCCCTGCCTCAGGCGCCCCACCATTGGCGGGCTGGCCTTCTGCCACTCTGCCCCCACCCACTGGAACTCCATCTCACCTTGCCCCTCCATTGCCTTCCTTCAAGATCCATCTCAAGAACCTTCTCTTCGATCATACTTTCAATCACCTGCTTCCCCCCACTGCCCTCCGCCCTCTCTAATCCGGACTCCCAGCTCGGGTGCAAAACACTGACTGTCCAGTTCCTTGGAATATCCTCCCAACCTGAAAGGTGCTATACAAATGTAATTTTGTTGTTGTTGTTTATTATTATTATTATCCTTGCATTTGATATCGCGCTTTTCACGTTTTCTGGAAGTCTCAAAGTGCTTCACAAAATATACTGTAAAGTTAATTGACTTAATTGTTAATTATTCCCTTAGTTTAGCACTGTCATATATTCGGATAATGAATTTTGGGTTGTTTACAATGTCTATTTCCACTCCCTGGATGATGAAGCCATGTTTTCCTCTCTCCCCTCAGTGATTTCTATTGAATAAATTCATATAACAATGAGATGTGACATTGCCATCAGCAGAACATAGATCAGATTGAAAGTGTAGCATGTGAGAGGCTTGTGTTGTGTGTAATACAGTCACATAGGGGTAAATATGTAATTGTTGTTTGATATTTACATTCCTCGACAGACGAGTTCTTTCCCAAAGTGGATGTGGTGGTTTCCTCAGTGTTCTTAGGACTTGCCATATTGGTGCTGAGTGTTCTTGTCGGCTACAGTGTAAAACAGCACAGAGATATCAATGGTAAGTTTCCACCAGTTATGTCTCAACCCAAGTCTCAGAACAGTCTGTTTTCATGTAAAAATATTAGTTTTAAAAATTTAGATATAAAATAGCCGGTAAACTTTAATGCGAATGTGGGTCAGAGGTTGATCTAATGACACAGAATCATTCTAATCTAGTTTACAATCCACAGAGACGGAGAGGGGGGTTAGCTAGTGGCAATAACGTGAGTTTGCTTCTTGTATGTTGTTCGATTGTGGGAATAACTTTCCCCCCCATATAAAATCTGTCTTCATCTTTCTCTGCATAAATTGAAAACCAATTGCAAATGAGATGTAAGTAATTCATAATAATAATCAATTTGGAAAATCACCTTTTATGTAAGAAAGAAGTCCCAAATTGCTTCACAGGAGACACTATAAATTGCCGTAACTGTGTTTTGTGGTCAAATGCAGTAGCTAATTTGCACAGAGCAACATCGCACAAACAGCCATAAAATGATTGATGTTTTTTTATTTGGGGAATTATCGGCCAGGACACTGGCCAAAACTTACTTTTCTTTTCAAATAGTGCCATGGCTACCTGAAGACAGATGGGGCCTTGGTTTAATTCTCACCTGATGGAGAGCACAATACAGCCTCCCCCTCCCCCCACCCATTTAGAGACTGAAAATACGGTGAAAGAGGAAGGACTTGAGATGGACTTTGGAGGTAGCTAAGGAAGGGGCTCCAGGAAGGGGCAGATAGTGCAGCAGCAGAGAGTCGGTGTAATCTAGGCTGGACATGATGAGTGCATGGATTAGGGTCTCAACAGCCTGAGCGGGAGGTGGTGGTGGAAGTGGGTGATGTTATGGAGGTGGGGAAAGTCTCTGACCAGCGGCTTCAACTCACAACCTTCTGACTCGGAGGCGAGAGCCCGGGTGAATTGTAGTGAACTGTTGAGCTGTATTTGCTGTAATTTATAACGTTGGTTAAAGTTGTAAAGATGCAGATTATTCATCACCATAATACAATGTTCAGAATATGTTTGTCGCTGCTGCAATCATTTTTCGGTGGTAACAATTTGTTTTTATTCAACAGCTCTTCAGCTAAGACTGGGTAAGCAAAACCAACCAACTGTTTCTGTTGTTGAGCAATCTCATTGACATACAGTAGGAGCCGCTTAAACCAGGCACATCGGGACTGGACGTTTTGTCCGGTTTATGTGGCGTCCAAAGTTAATCAAAGTCCTCGTCCCATCAGCACCTCTTCCCTCCCACTGCCATTCCCATTGGACAGGAAGGGAACCAAATAGCAGTGGCTTCGAGGTGATTGACAGCCTGGAACCAATTGTGTAGGTTTGAGCCCCAACCCATTCATAAGCAGCTTCAGCTGTCAATCAATCCCAATTTGACTCCTCCCATTCTCTCCCCATTCCTCCGCCTCCCCTCACTGAGTGACAGCCCAAAGCCACTTGTGAACGGTTGGAGGTCGCTGTCAATCAGCCACACTTTGACTCCTCCCATCTCCATCCCGGAGACTCTTGTGGCGAGTGAGTGGACACAGTGGTGACCAGCGAGACATTCTGTCCAGATTAACCGATTTTTATCCGAATCAACAATCAGCGTTTTGTCAGATTATCAGATCATCACATCGCCAAATAATTACATTTACTGTGAAATGTGTTTCACACAATCTTAAACCAGCAGAGAGACAAGACCGAGAGAGGTCAATGTTAATTAATTGAACAGTTATAGAGGCGACACAGAGAAAGCTACATAGAGAGACAGAGAGAACAACAACAAGATTCCATTTTTTGAGCGCCTTTCACGCCGGGAGGACATCCCAAGGCTGCAGTTGGGTCAGGACCTGAGCTGGGGGGAAATGATCAGGGTGAGGGGAGGGAAGGGAGGGAGTGAGGAGGGGGTAGAGAGTCAAGAGGGGAGCCGAAGGCTCGGTCAAAGAGAAAGGTCTTGAGACCGGCCTTGAAGAAGAAAAGGGAGGAAGCGGCGAAGACACTGGGGGATAGAGTTCCAAAGCCTAGGGGCTGAGAGGCTGAAGGCCTGGCCACCGATGGTAGGGCGGTTGGGACGGGGGTTGTGGAGCAGACCGGAGCCAGAGTAACGGAGAGTATGGGCAGATAAGTAGGGGGATAGTAGATCGGAGAGGTAGGAGGGAGCGAGGCCATGAATGGCCTTGTAGGTGAGGATGAGGATCTTGAATTCGATCCTCTGGGGGTTGGGGAGCCAGTGGAGGCGAGCGAGGGTGGGAGTGATGTGGTCGCGAAAAGTATACATTAACTGTAATTATAATTATAACTATAATCAACTGTGAACATTAGGAGGAGGTGGACAAAGTTAGAGAGAAAAGGAGCCTCACAGGGCGAGAAAGAGTTAAAACAATGATGTGAAGCGAGAGAATGATATAATGTGATCTCATGACACCTGCCTGAATTCTCTTAATTGCCAGCGTTTTAACATTGCAAAAACATGTTATCTGTTATTTGGACGGATATTATGTCAATTCGAATCCAAAAACCTATAGTTTTGCTGGAATCCCTTTATTTCTTATAGAATTGTTAATTTTGTCACCTGTCCATCTGGTATTTGATAGTTAACCACTGTTTGGTTTAGAATCCACTGCCTCGCCCGCCCCACCGTTGGCAGGGAGGCCTTCTGCCACTCTGCCCCTACCTTCTGGGACTACATCTCGCAGTCCCTCTGCCTCGCCCCATACCTTGCCTCCCTCAAGACCTATCTCAAGACACTCCTCTTCGACAGTGGTTTCAATCACTCTGCTTCCCCCTCTGCCTACCACCCTCCCCAATCCCAAACCCCAGCTCCGGTCTGAAACACTGACTGTCCAGCGATTGGGACGTCCTCCCGATGTGAAAGGCACTATATACATGTAATTTTGATGTTGTTGTTGTGCCTCAGTTAGTTCTGGGGCTGCCTCCTTCATTGTGGGTGACAAACAGACTATTCCCACATTGTGACCCTTTTTAGCCCCACACA